AATTCCCCAATAAAAAAATCTTTAAAAAAAAATAAACGGGTCACAAGAGGACAACGTCTTCTGGAATCCATACCACTGGAGTGTCTAGCACATAGTAGCTGCTTAATGAGTATTTATTGATTGGATGTGCATGATTTGCAAGGGACACTATCTGATCAGATTTAGGTGTAAGAATTTGAAAGAGATTCTTTTCACCTCATCCAATGACTATTGCCAGCCTGAAAAGGAGACAAAATGTTATTTTTCTAAAGCAATTTATTTTTAAGCATCTAAAATTCTTTTTTGAACTTAATAATATTCTAGGGATTAAGTCAGGGGCTTTTTGCATTTTTTTGTTTGTTTGTTTTTGTTTTTTTTAAAGCAGAAAACCAAGCCCATAAACTAATAGTTTATTTTTACCTTCCTGTCAATGAACATTAGTGAGTATCCTACTTTTACAAAAAACATTTGTTAATGAGATAAGCAATATTGGATGCTTGTTACATTAAATTTCCACCACAGTTTTGTAATAAAGTGTTAACATTCCTAGGCGAGTGAAAGTCCTGTATTATTGGGAGAACAATTAAGACTCAGTAGAAAGTAAAATGTATTGAGAGTAATGGGTTAATTTTTCAATGTAGGTTGGTACATTTAATATTTTTATTTATTAAAATTCCATGAAGTCAAAACTTCCATGGAATTAGTCTCACTCAATAACTAGGAAATTTAATTTAAATCAAAAATAGAAAGTTTACAAAACACTATCTTTGTGTTTGGGTATTGAATTATAGTTGATCCTTTTCCTGTTTTTCCTTTTTCATTTACCATGTATTTATTTTTAAGATGAGCATTCATCTTTTTTTTTAAAGATTTTTATTGGGGAATTGGGGGAAGGAGAACAGACAAGTTGCTGTCATTTTGTTCTTCAGTCTAGTTGTGGAGGACGTTGCTTCACTGGCCCAAGTTGGCACCATCATTGCGCTCTTCCCAGGTGANGTGTCACTGGCCCTCATATGTGGGATCCGAACCGGGGCCCTCTGGCATCCCAAGCGAGTTCTTAACCATCGCGCCACTCGGCCGGCCCCAATAAATGTTTTTTTGAATTAATACTTAATATTTAGATATCACAAGTAATTTCAATTCCTTGTGGACTTGCAATCCGGGGTCCTTTTAACTCTAGAAATAAAGGAAGCCATAGAATAAACCATGGCACACCTTTCTCAGTATACTTAAAGCTGTTTTTTTTTAAAATTTTTATTGGGGAACAGTATGTTTTTCCAGGACCCATCAGCTCCAAGTCAAGTAGTTGTTTCAATCTATTAATAGTTGTGAAGGGCGCATCTCAGTGGCCCATGTGGGGATCGAACCAGCAACCTTGGTGTTATGAGCAGTATGCTCTAACCAACTGAGCTAACCAATGGCCCCTACTTAAAGCTTTTAAAATATAATTAAGCAAAAGATGAAATCCAAAATTCACATTCTTTTTAAATAAAAACATGCTTCTTTAAATACTTTTTTTTTTTTTGCTTGTGGGGAATCACATGGTACTGTATCTTCAGACTCCCTGAAGGTATTGTTATCTTTTGGCTTTAGGGATATTTCATAAGTCTTAGAAATAGTAGGCACAGTTTTTGATTAGCTTCTTACATATTTGCATAAGAAGATATAAAGATTAAGATACTAATCGTTGACATCTGTAGAAGGTTTAACCTTTTATAAAACACTTTTATAATATTTTTTCTAGGCTTCATCACTTCTTGACTATAACATAGAGCAGGGATTGATTATCAACATCCCAATTTTACAGATTAGGAAACTGAGGTTCTTAAATCTTCCCTAGGGTCCTTCTGGAATCAGGGGGACTGCTGTTCAAGAAAAATTATTGACACTTGTTAAAATGGTGAGGAAGACTTTATTCAAGACTATTGCAATAGGAGAAACTGTGCTCAACTCTGAAGACAGCTAAGACAGCCAACACACAAGCAGAGTGAGGGGGACGGTGGATAGAAACTTACTAAGAGGAAACATTAAGGGTAGGGGGCTTCTTGCTAAAGGTAGGCCATAAACTTATATATTAAAGGTGGGAGATAAGAAATTTGATCACTTATCAAAGGTAATCAGATACCAAGGGTGGGGGTGTGTGTGATTTATCAGATTTCACACTAATACTGGGTTCAGCCAAGCTGAACTTGAAGGCCTAGGTAAGTAGAGGGCTCAGGGGAGCCTAACGAGTTTGGACAAGGAGAGGGTCTTTGTCAGTGCCTACCCCACACCTCTTTATTACTTGATCCCTGTGGATAAGGATCCCTCCGGCAGGCAGCCGGAGCTCTGGGATCGTGGGTCGGGGGCCTAGCTCTCCCTACGAGGTAGCGAAGACCGGCGCCGGGCGCCGACCAGGTCGCATTCAGCTACCATTAGAGGAATGCGGGTCGAAGCAACGCTGCCGGAACCGCACAGGAGGAACCCCCACGTTCCACCCGGCCGCTGGGCGTCCTACTTCAGGGGTAGGCGCAGCAGGTCGGTCGGGGCGGGGCCTGCGGCGCTGATTGGCTAAGGAGCCCCGGCGTGGGATTTCCCCGGCCCTGGTGCCGCCCTGTCGCCACTGACTGGTCGCCCCGCCCCTGCCGTTCTCCCTCTGCTTGTGGGGCCGCGCTCTGGCCCGTCCCGCGCTGCCTGGCGGGAGGGGCCGAGCCCGTGTTCCTCCTCCTTACCGGTCCGCATCCTTAAAGCACGAGTCCGGACGCCCCGCCTGTTGGAGAGGGGGCCGGGATACGGCCAGCGAACAGTCGGGGCAGGCCAGGGCTGACCGAGGAGGGCCAGAGGCCACGGAGCAGCCGCGGCTGATACGCCAGTGTCTTGGCCTCAACCGAGAGGTTGCGGGACCTGCGAGGGGAGGGGTCCCGGGCGCCATTGCTGACCGACAGAGCGCCGCCTGGTCCCTGTTCGCCCTCGTCTGCTCTCCCCTGGCTGGGAGGAGCTGTAGCTCGGGGCCGTAGCCAGCCCCTGGCCGGGACTCGTGAATCCGGTGCCTCGTCTGCTGCCCGCGCAGGGCCGCGGGGCCGAGACCATGTTTGACAAGACGCGGCTGCCGTACGTGGCCCTCGATTTGCTCTGTCTGTTACTGGGTACGTTGTGCAGCCGACCCGGGGGGCGTGTGCGCGCGAGCCCGGGGTGGGCTGCACCCATGGGTGCGGGCGTGTGTCCTCTGGGAGGGGACTCACGGAGAGCCGCGTACTGGCGTAGGGGGTGTGTGTGTGTGCCTGACGCTCGCGCCTTTGCGGGGCGAGACGCGGGGCGCGGCTTCCGCAGCCCGGGGACCCCGCTTTGCAGCCTGCACCCTGGCTCCCGCGTGGCCGCCGCTGTCTTGTCTGTTGCCCACCGGTGCGCTGAACCCATTCTGCTTGGACGCTGTTCACGCCTCTGCGCTCAGTCCCTTGCTCCTGTCCTCTGTTTCCAGTTCCACTCCCAGCAGAGCAGGGTGGGCTCCTCCCCTCTCTGCTGTAGGGAAGCCTGGTTGCTGGCTCATTAGGTTCAGTAGCGAAACCGGAGGTTTGACCACGGGGGGGTGGGGGTTTCTCAGTAACAGGCGCCAGTGCCTGGTTTATCTTACGTGTGGGAAGCAGTTTAATTTTTCGTCTATAAAAGGCTAGAACGTTCCTAATTAGAAGGTGTTACCAGGTTGTAAATTGTCAGGTTGCAAGTGGGTGTGAGGATGCCAAGTTTCTGTCCATAGGTCTGAAGANTCTGACATCATACTATGCTATCACAATATTATTGACTATATTCCCTATGCTGTATATTACATCCCCATGACTTATTTGTTTTATACCTGGAAATTCGAGCCCCTTACTCCCCTTTATTTTTTCCCCTCCTTTTAAAATTTTTCAATTACAGTTGATATTCAATATTATTTTATATTACTTTCAGGTGTACAGCACAGTGGTTAGTCATTCATATAATTTAAGAAGTGATCCCCCTGACTAGCCTAGTACCCACCTGGCACCATACATAGTTATTACCATATTATTGACTATATTCACTATGCTTTACTTTACATCTCCATGACTATTTTGGCATAATATTTTAAAAGATAAAAAACAAGAAGGCTAAATGATATATATTTTTAGAGATACATACACATGTGTTTATGTGTATTTCCAAAAGGAGATAATAAAAGAAGGAAAAGGTAAACACAAAATTCAGGATAGTGGTCACCTCTCCTGAAGCTGGGAACAAGAAAGGGCTAGAACACAGAGGTAGGTTCAATAATACTGAAATGCTTTATGTATTAAATTGAGTAGTGGATTCATTTCAAAATAGTTACTAATTTTATTATTATGCTTCATAACTTACTTATATGTTATATATTATATATGCCATGGGTACCAAAAAAATGTATACACATGACTTGTATTCATCTTTTGTTATTGGTATAATTATTACAATTTTAATAGTTTTTTCCTTTCTTAAAACGTGTATACATTTTGTGGCACCCTATGTATTTAGGTATCAAATATTACATTAAAACTTTAATAAGGTAAAAAACAAATAGCTTTGGCAATGAGTGCTAAGAGGATTACAATATACTATATTGTGACATTTTTTTGAGGGAGGAGGCAAATACACTGGGGGACCAGATATTTACATTATTTTATTGTTTTAGTTATACAATGCTATTTGAGTATAATGAAAACTATATTTGCTTCAGTCCAGGTGGGGAGAAAGTACATAAGCACATACAAATACAAATACTCTAAGGGAATTTATTCTTATTACTTTGCAGACATTTTCTGAAATAAATAAGTAGTCGAGATAAGAAGCACTGTTAGAACAAGGAAAGGAGACTTACCCATAATATTATGTTAAAGAACAGTGCAAGCAGAGTGGGAACAGAACTGAGAATACAGAAGTATTTGAAGAGAAAGTGAAAATGAAGGATGTCTCCTTTTCAAACTGCTTAGTCATAAAAGAAGAAAGTTAGTTTCTATTACAGGGGGGAGGCTTCAGGACTATTCTTCCCAAACCCACTCTGCTTTTGTTTGTTGCCTGTTTAGAGAGAAAAATATAGGCCCAAGGACAAACTTTGTTAAGCATTTAAGAAAGATGCCAAGGTTTCAAGTCCAGTCTAGGGATATACTAGTACCTACCCCCACAGGGGTGTTAATGGTGTTGCAATTCAATCAATGTTTCCTTTTAATTATTTTCACCATCATTTCAAAGTTATTTAACTCATTCTCAATTCCACTGATCACACCAGAATTCTATCGTGACAATAGACCAAAACAAACACCTCCTCCAAAAAACGAACAAAAACTTCCACCCCCACACAAAATGACATTCCTTAGTCATTCTCTCAACTGAGGACTTAATTTATAACCTGCACAAATTGCAGATCGCATTTTAAATAACAGAAAATGACTTAGTAATACATTTTAATGGACTTTGCTTTGTTGATCTAGTTTTAAAGCTATTATATTATCTGTAACTCCTCCAAAGGGCAAAACAAATCTGTTAATATATCAACTGTTTACTTTTTTTTTTTTAACATTTTTTTATTGGGGAAATGGGGGAGGAGAACAGACAAGTTGCTGTCCTTTTGTTCTTCAGTCTAGTTGTGGAGGACGTCGCTTCACTGGCCCATGTTGGTATTATGATTGCGCTCTTCCTGGGTAAGGCAGATCGGTCGCTGGCCAGTGGACTGGCCACTCACACTGGCTGCCAGCTACTCACGGTAGCCCACTGCAGCCCCATCGCAGCCTACGCCTTTGCGGGCGACTCATAGCAGCCCAACTCCAGGTGGAGCTGTTGTTCACCATCTTAGATGTAGAGGGCGCAGTGTCACTGGTTTTAATGTGGGATCCGAACCTGGGCCCTGCTGCTCAGAGCTGGGATCCCAAGCCAACTCTTAACCAACGTGTCACTTGGCCGGCTCTCAATTGTTTTCTTTATTTCCTTCTCACCTAAAAAAAAAAGTCTGTTGGTATGGGAGAGGGCAGGAAAGAATAATGTATCACCTCCCTATAGAGTGTTTCCAGAGCTCCCAGGTAAAACCCTCACTCCTCCTTTGTATGTCTGCTGTATACCAACACACTTTTATCACAATATTCATTTCATTACATGCCAGGCTTCCTGACTGGGCAGCAGACTCCTGGAGAGAAGAAATCTTCTCTCGCTCATTTCAGTCTCTCCATAGCTGTGTACTCATATATAACAGGCGCTCAGTAAATGTTGAATGAATGAATGAGTGAATAAACAACAAACAAAAGCATTAATCTAAGTTTTTTTGAATGCTTACTTTTGAAAAAGCATTTTAAAAGCAAATGTTTATTTCAAAAGCTGTTTAAATAAAACACTGTCCCTAGATTATGCCTGGTCCACAGATCCAATAAATGTTTTTTTTTTTAAAGATTTTTATTGGGAAATTGGAGGGATGGAAACAGTGCTGGGGAATTGGGGAAAGGGGAACAGACAAGTTGCTGTCGTTTTGTTCTTCAATCTAGTTGTGGAGGATGTTGCTTCACTGGCCCAAGTTNAAGCAATTTTTTTTTCTTTTTTTAAACTGCATGTGACTTTGTTGTGCCAAGTACAACTCTAGGAACTGGGAATACATATTGCTGAAGAAGGCCTACTTTTGCTTAAGGAGATCAGTTAACCAATCGTATCAATACAGGTTTGGGAGAGGGACAAGTACAACGTGAGAAGAATGAAAACTGGGGAGTGTGAACAAAAAAGGAATCTGAAGATGAGAAAAGGGCAGATTTTATTATGATTTCTAAAACAGATGAAGAAGATGGATTCTAATTAAAGACCTGTAACTGGGTAGAAATCTTATCCAACATTTTTAATAGAAAAACATATGTGATGTCTTTAAGACTACAGATATTTTATAGGTAATTGAGTTCTGTATCTTTGGTGATATATATTTTTAAGAGATTGTTAAAGAAATAATTGGTGAGCATCCTAGAGAAAGGAAGTGGTGATTACCAGGGTCTGGTGTGGATTTACTAAGAATAAGTCAACATCAGACCAGCCCCATTGCTTTGGTAGATTAGGGAACCATGGTAGATATTGGGTTGAGTGGGTGGTAGGGAAGCAGATGTGGATTCACAGAAATCTTAAAATATATATATTGTGTTAGATCACACATTTGCTAGGCAATTGCAAACCTACACTTTGTATTTAATCATCACAATAATCCTATTAAGAAAATGTTGTCTTCCTAAAAAACAACAACAACATAAAACCCAAACCATCCTAGTTTGACACTGAAGGAAAGTCTCAGTGGAAGAATATCTTGGTGGAGCTGAGTTGCCCACCTGTGAGATCCCCAACTCTGATCACAGAAACTTACTTCATTTTTATGGTTTTTCACTAACTCTTGCAAGTGGTCACGTTTGTAGACTGGGTCAAGTGTTAATGGAATACTTTTTCCTTAATATCCTGTACGAAATGTGAAAAAGGGCTGGAAGCCATAAACAAGATTTGAGGAAGATAAAAGATAACAAAATGGAAATACACATAGAAAAGGACTTGAAACTAAATAATTTGGCTTACAAAACAAGGTTTACTCATCTTTAGTTTACAGCCCACTGCAGAGATTATGACTTCCTCTCACTACTAGATAACTTGTTTTAAATGGCTGTCTTCAGCAAATCACTATGTATTTTCAGCCATTTTCCTTTGCCTCCAGACACACTTTTTAGCTACAAACCTACCTCCTAACACCTTATGTTCCACTATTCCTCAATGTGAGTTCCTTGTTTCATAGCTTTTCTTACTCAAATACTTCAGAATATGTCATTTCTTTTGCCTCTATGCTCAAACCATTCTCTAAACTTCAAAGTCTATTCTCCCTCAGAACCCTTTTTTATCTACCCAAATTGTTTTGTTCAGGGCCTTGGGGTTTCCAGGACTAGAAATTCAACAAGCTATCTCAAGTAAAAGATTTTCTTAGAATAATATGACGTGATTTCTCAGTGATAGGAATCAAAATACTCTTGAACCTTGTATCAGCTGTGAATATTTGAGGTGTAAGCAATTTTTTTTTCCCCCTTACATATGAAGAAATCTGGAGGTAGCCAATTGCTGGTTGTTTTAGAAGCTCAACATTATAAAGACCAGTGAC